TAAAGCCGTTTATAGTTGGTTAGATATGTTACAGATGAGCAGGTGCCAGTTGGGCGTGTGACTTTACTGTAGCTGAACCAGGCTTTGAAGCCTACAGGTGCTGAGTTGGGTGATTTTTATAGCTGGTTTGATGTCTCGCAGGCCAACAGGTGCTGATCTGTGCTGCTTTCTGCCCTGCCTCTATCAACCAGAGCTGACTTGTGCCACTTTGCTTGATGTCTAGGAGAATTGTTAAATGGCTGAAATGGAGTCTTTTGGTTTTGATAACTGTGGCAGAGAGGGCAGCAGGGTTTTTTTTTTATATTGCGGGTGAGTGTGGCGGACGGGCTGCCAGGACCAATCAGGGCCACATGGTGCCTGACTGAAAACAGGCCCGTTGTAGTCTGTTAAGGCTGTGATATTTAAACCAATTTAGATGAGACATTTCTGGTGAACAAGAATGAGATTTTTCTGATGATAAAAAATGACTTGAATAGACTTTAGGACAGACGATCAGCAGCTTCAGTCCTGTGTTTCTACTCTGGATGGATTCAGGCACAATGCCGGGTGTGGGTCCCTGATGTTTCAGCAGCACATGAAACAGCCTTGAAGTTAAAAAAAAATGCCTAGGAATGTGTTTTAATGTAGCGTGAGTGGTACACAAGACATCATACAGTCTGTGTGGACAGCTGGATGATTAGCATATGTGTTCATTCTTTCGGTGCCGGAGATGTATGACAGCTGTACAGTCGACCAGTGTTGGCATCTCTGAGAGGCTGCTTAAGCTAAATGTTACCATCAGCACACTAAGACGATGCTCACACTGACATGTTGATGTTTAGACGTTGCATCATTTATCATATCCAGCATCATAGTTTACCCCTGAAATCTCACAGGCCACCCCACACCTGAATAATAGATCCATCCTGTCTCCATGTCAGGGATAATTCCTAAATATAAGTAAAGCTGTGCACCTGGAAGCAAGAAACCAAACTGTGAATGTTTTGAGGTCTGTGCATTTGCCTCATTAAGTGAAAGCTTTTGTGTTCTCTGTGATGTTTATGGATGGAAACAGCCCATTGGCCGCTGCAACCCAAAGCTGTTTTGTCATCTAGTTAAGAATGTTTCACCTAAAACCACAAATGTCAACCTCATTGTGGAGCCAGAGGAAAAGTCAGGATCAGTAGGAGTCATCAATAAGCACAATGAATATCTGTATGAAATATCAAACCGACTGCTGAATAGCTGGTGAGATATTTTACGCCTGATTTTATGAAAAAGAAGTCACAGTCAGTAGGATTTATCCTCTGGGGACCCTGAATGACAGTCCTTGATGAGATATTTGTGCTTGGAAAGAAGCCAACATGGATAGAAACTCCTCCTTCTGCTCACCATGTGTGACTGCGTACCATGTGAACCCTCCAGACAGTGATGGACATCTTTATATGCTGGTATCTCAGAGGCTCATGAGGCCGTTTCCATCCAGAGAGGGAGAAGCCTGCTTATTGGTTTTCCAGGGCAGATGTTAGCCCAGCTCACAAAAATAGCCAGTTACATAACTTACTGGTTTTGATTTGAGCAGAGCAGAGCCAGTAGACAACAAATACAGCTAAATGAGATTGGTATACACAAAGTATGTGTCTGCCAGTGGACAGAGGACGTTCCTCAATGATTTACAGCTCAGGCCAGCGACTCTGAACTGTACTTGAGCTCTGTGATAAATGATAACGGCTCGACTGGCCCGAGGCCATCTTAAATCAGCTAAATTAGCTCTGTGTGTGTGTGTGTGTGTACCTGTGGATTTGAGGGCATGTCTATAATCAGGTTAATATGAACAGGAAATGGAGCTTCTCAGAGAGATGGAAACGGGGCGTCACAGAGGAAATACAGAAAGGATTGAGGGAGAAACAGAGGGTGTAATATTTCTTGGCTGGGATTCCTGCATGTGACTGTGCAGGCCTGCTTCTCTCTCTGGGAATGTAAAAAGTGTAATCTTATATGAAATCTAAGTGGTCAACATCTAAACATGACTGGCAGCAGAATGTTTTCATAAGTCCTCTGTTTATAAGAAGACGTGAGAGGGGCTGTGACAGCTAATTGCATATAATTTGTGCCTCTAAACCATCTTGAATTATGGACTATATACATCTGCTGATCCCTCTTTGAATCGCTTTCCCTGTCTTTCTTCCATAAAGCATGACCTGTTAACATACACAAGAGGTTTGGGATTTTCACAGCGTAGTCCAGTCAGATTGTTTGGAGCCTGAAGTGCTGCTAGAATGACGACTGCCTTTTTAACTGGTGTTCAAATGTAATACATTAAAGGTTCACGTCACCTTTTCTCAGATGACTGGCTCTCAAAGTCTTTATTTTAACAAGGTGTAATTTATCTAGTAAAACCTTGTGACTTCACTCATCCAGCAAAACCAGTTGCTTGTCTGTGCGACAAAATTACAGTGAGAAAAAAAAAAAAGATTTGCATGCTTTGCCATCTCTGCAAGTAGAATACTTTATGTTTAAAGTGAATGAAACTATGACTTTTATTACAGTTAAGCACTAAACTCAAATTCTTTCCAGTTACTAAGTCATACAGTATCACAAAATTACACAATTGTGAAAAAATAGCCCTACTGCCAGCATTTAATGGTGAGGCACAAGTAAAAACAACATTTCTTTCCTTGATATATTAGCTAATATAAAAATCAAAACAAGTACTGTCAGACGATGCAGGATCTGGAGAAACTGAGCAGAAAGAAAACAACTAAACTGAACAAGCTACAACATGTTTGACTAGACCTTATAGTTAAAAAAGAGCTTCAAAGTAGTGAAATGGCCCTGAAAATAGTCCACTACTCATAGGATTTAAAGCTGGAATTGAAATTGTAATAATAAGATAACCATAGAACAGTTGTTTAATTCAAAGACTGATCCAAATGTAGCAGTTGTCCAATCACAACTTCTGATTACAAACACATACTACTAACACTTGGGCATTTGGTCAGAAACTAAAATAAAGAACAAATTAAGAAACACTGATGGATCTCCAAATGTACTATGATGTTTTCTGAGGGGAACATTAAAGTCTCGTCCAAGTATTATGACAGTCAATGCAACAGCAGTCTGATGAAATGTCAACTTCATTAGTACCTGTCATTTAGAAACGGGAATTCAATTTAGTTTAATGTAATTCAACTTTATTTACTCCTGAAGGGGAAACTGTATGCAGCAGCTTAATACCAAGATCAACAGATCTGTACACGGTTGATAGTTAAAGCCATAAAGGTAATATAAGATAAACCCTTATTAGTCCCATAGTGGGGAAATTTGTAGTGTTACAGCAGCAAAAGATTGCAAAAAATTAAAAAATAAGAAAAAAAATGAATCAAAATCAACCAAAACATACATACATACTAATAAAAGTCATACACCTAAAACAAAACAGATGTTTTCTGAATAAACACGATGTAAGTTTACAAGATTAAAGAGATTTACATGGATTATTTTTTAAAGATACATTGAAAATACAAAAAGAAATTAAACTGTACCAGCATAAAAAGCATTCAAAGTCCCTCACTAGTCATTGATTTAACCCTTAAAAATGCATTTCTTTGTATCAACGCTAGTTCCTGCCTCTTTCTCCACACACACTCCCTCTATTCACTGTAGCTCGAGCACACCAGCTCACTTATGACTCTGCTCAAACACTATAGAACTACTCAATGCTACACAATGGCAAGTTATAATACTGGCGTAATATAGTCACAGTCACAAAGAGTAATGATACGGGAAGTCTTATCCTGCAAGTTGACAGGACTGGTTCCTCAGATTTGTTATGTAGGAAACTCTTTATCTCTGAATGTGTTTTTGAGGCTGCTGTATGTCCAGTTTCAAGGCAGAAATGCTCAGCCATCGTGTTGACTTTTTCTTTCCCCTCACGATACGTCTTCTAGCACATTAAAAACACCATATGGATTTTCACCAAAGGAGGTCTTTAACTAAGCACCTGTAGGAATAATTACGACAATTTGTCATTTTGTAGATTCAGAGATATTTCCCAGAATAAAAAACATAAACATACTGTTGGCAGGGGAAGTCATTTGTTTTCATCCTGTGGGGATCACACATAAATATCTGTAAAATATTTCAGTCCAATCCATCTCGTAGTTGTTGAGATCAAAGTGTTGGACCAACTGACTAAACAACCAGCAGCATCATCTGTTGAGCTTCACCACCAGCGTCACTACAACGTCTAAATGTTGCAGACTTCATATGGTCCCTATAGGGTCAGACAGACTGGCTGCAAAGCATCATCATCAAAGGACAAATAGCTGCTTTTTATTTGTGTCTCTATGTATGTGGTCTGTGTGTGCACGTTCTGTTTTTAATCCCACTGTTCTGCTCCTCTGCACTCCCTCACAAGTCCGGGAATTGAATAAATTATGCTGCAGGAATTCCCTGGCACAGTAAATATAAAGAGTGTCATTGTGGTGCAGGCACAATGACACATGGATGGATTTATATAGAGCCTCTGTGATATACTCAGACAGGCCCAGACTGTGCAGAGTGCAGAGAGGAAGCCATTGTCCTGCAGGTCAGACTGAAGCCTGACCAAATTGCTTCACACTGATGTTTGAAATTCCTCCTGCATCCTCCAGAATGACTGTGTGCATAAAATATAGTTCACAAAGTTCATCTGTCATCTCACTATTTATTTCTATATATCACTATTATTGACATAATAGATGCATTTTGTGGCTAAATTCCCATTTTATTTATTGCATTGATATATTATTTTACTCCATCTGTTTGTTTTGCATCTTAAGTACTTAATAAATGTTTACTGGGGATGTTTATGGCTTTCCGAAATGAGAATATTTGTACACACATCTCTTGTTTCAGTTTATTTGATATAAGTGCCCCCTGGAGAGCAGTTCAGTTGACTAAAATGCACAATAAAGCAATAGAATTCTCAACAACTGTGTGATATATTCAGCCTTTTTTCCCTCCCTTCGTCCTTGCAGTGCCGCTGGCGTGTGTGCTGTCCTTCAACGTGGACCAGAAGAATGCCTTGTCCTTCGACGGTCCGCTGGAGGACATGTTTGGCTACACCATCCAGCAGTTTGAGAACAGTGAGGGGAAATGGTGAGTGTCATTCACAGCGCATTTCGAAGACCCGAGGTTATCAAGAGGCCAGACATATGTCATGTGTCACTACTGCAGCATTTCCTCCACACCTCACAGATGTTGGCTGGAGCACAAAACCCATCGCAAACGTGCACCTTGTTACATATATGTGATGGAAATGTGACATAATGATGATCTCATGTGTCCAAAAGTCACCACAGGCATTCATGCTGGTGATATTTCCATAGCACTTCCAGCATTGTGCAAGTTTGAACTGAATGTGGTCAAATAAATGTAAAGGCTGCAGCAGCACAAGGTTAGATCAAATCTATTTCACTTTCTAAGAGCACTAAAATAAACCTTGTCATTCAGTTATGCTTGTTATGCGAAAAATTTAGTTAAAACTACAAAATGTTGAGGTGGTTCTTCTCATATTCAGTCAGTGCATAAGAGAATGATTTTACCCTTGTGGTGAGGGGCAAAAGAGGTTAAAACGAAAAATGTGCAAGCTTAAATTTCACTCATACCAACAGCATGGACGTTTTCAGTTACTGGGGTTATTTCAGCTCCCGCAGGCCCCTGTTGAAAGACCTCCAATAAACCCACTGCAGACCTGCTCAGAACCAAACAGTACTAAAGCTGTTGGTGGAGCACTGAGGAACTAAAGAGCCAAATATTTCCCTCAGGAGTTGGTGGAGACCAAAAACAGAACTAAAATAGAGTCAGTGTTGGAAAAATAATGGTAATGTTACTCTGTATTATCTGCATGCATAGATAGTCATTGGTGTAGTCTGGCTTGTTTGTATTTCTTTAAACCAATCACAGTAATTTTGGGCGGTGCTAAGCCCAGGATGCAGCGATGGTGCCCCTGTGTAATAGTGTTGTGGGAACTTGTCGTGATCGAACAGTTGCAAATTCACAGAGAGAACAGAACAGATCTGCCTTACCACACAATAAACAGTTTAATCACAAGGTATTTTGAAAATGGTACCACAGAGGTAGAGGAAGAGGACACTAGTTTAAAGAAAAAAAAAAGCAAGATATTTCCTCAGAAGGTGGTGGAGACCAAAAATAGAGCAAAAAGAGAGTAAACGATGGATTTACCTTTCTCCACTGGGCAGAAACACGACTCCCAATTATTTCAAATATTGCTGTTTTAGCAGGATGTGCAAATAGCCACTTACTTTACAGGTGACTATAAATCTGTGGTGTGTTTATGGTGTGTTTTTGCTGCTCCTCAGTGACCAATCAATCAATTACTGCAGATTTAAAGTTTCAGTTTAATGTCTCTGCATTTTTATAGACATTACAAAACAGGCCCCAGAACTTGAATAATCAATAATTTATTTGAGGATTCACTTTAAGAAATGAGGAAAATGTCCCTCCTGCACATAACGTTCAATAACTAAAGCTTTGACAGCAAAGTACGTTCATAAACTAACGCTGTGAGACAGCAGAAAAGTCTGTTTTTCCCTTTTTCTGCACACCCCTGTTTCCAGCTGTGGCACTGCTGTTTCTATTGCAGCAGGTGCCAAGCATACATCATGAATAAAGCTGGAAGGAACAACAACTAATCCAGCCTGCCAAGAAAGGTGTTGAGGAACAAGCTGACACCTCTGCACATAATTGTTCCCTTTCTGTTATAGAAAATATTTATTGCTTAAAAGGGGTCTGGCAAAAAAAAAGCCTTTCAGCTGAGAACATTTTATTTTGCCAAGATGAAGGACTCAGTTCAGTTTGATTAAACTCTAAAACCCACCAATTCACCTGTAAAACAACGTGAATGATACAACAGCAGCTGCTGCTGTAATGAGGATCCTGGTCTTTACTGCGAGCTGTTAACCGTAAACTGGCCGCCAGAGTATCCACATACCCAGCCTGTAAATACACTGAAGCCAAGCATCCGTGGCTCCACGCTGAAACAGTCTGGGAACACGTTTTTAAAACCCTGTTAAATGCTATTAGGAGTGTGGTTAATGGCTCTCCGTCTCTTGTCCTTTCTACATTTGTCCTTTAGTTACTCGGTTTGCTTCTCTCCAACCTGTTGCAGTCGGATTCCTGCCCACATGTCTGTACCTGGTGCTGCAGTAATGGTCTTATCAAGCTCATATGAGATCAATTACACTAATTCACTCACTGCTAATCGGTGGAGACGACTGTAATGGAACCTGCTCCGTGATCCCTGATTCCTTTGGTAGCATCTCCAAATAGCGCTGCTTTGTTTCTAGTTGATAGAAAAGTATTAGCCTGAGTGATAAGAGTTTCGGTGAAGAGGTTAAAGCTGGGAGAAACAACCCGGGTAAAACAGGCGGAGAGCAGTGAGATGCTGAATGATGGAGAGATTTCAAGAAGCAAAATCAGAGATGATTTGTAGCTCTCTGTGCTACATTTGGGAGAACATTTTAATGACAAAATATAGTGATGTAACACGTTGGTTACCATAAGTGGGAGGTGACTGATTAGTCGCAGATGTCTCCAGCAGGCCTCCACCCTCAGCAGTGTTGAAAGGTGAATCAGATGCACTGAGAAAATGTGTTACATGTGGCACAGATGGTTCATCCTTTCATCACAGGTCTTTGCAACTTTGGCTCGTATCAATTTTGTCTTCTTCCCACAACATTTCTGGAGTAGATCTCAGGAAAAATAGCATGCTGCAAAAATTTCCTACGGCAAACAAACCAATTATGACTTGTTTGTGTAAAGAATTTGTACAAAGTCTGGAGAATCTTTCTAGTATCAGACTAACAGAGCATGCCAATGACTAGAAGAAGTTTCTTGAAAGTAGCATGCAATTAGCTTTCTTTTGTGTTGAGCATTTTTAGAAATATCTTCATGAATGTAATGTTTATCAGACATATAGATAAAATATGTTAGCTCTAGGAGTCTTGATAAGTACATTTTGTTCCCTTTGGACAAAGCCAGGCTATTTGTTTTTCACTCTTTGGCAAAAGCTAAGCTAACTGGCTGGTGTCTTTGGCTTTATATTTAATGGACAGTTTTCAAGACAGAAAGTATTTCTCCAAATATTGAATTTATGCTTTCAATTATTTGATATAGCTTTAGAAGTTCCAGATGTGCAAAGTTGTAAGATTTGTCTGATTCTGCAATTTTCTGGAGATAGATGCCTGGACAGCAGTTAATCGTAATGCAGTTCACTTCTAAAAAAAAAAAACCCCAGATAGATTGAATATTAAGTACACCCAACTGCTTAAAGAAAAAGTTTAACCTCGTTTACCATTTTAATTTAACATGTGATCATGTTAACATTTGCTAAACACAAAGTACAGCTGAGATCGATAGGAATGCTGCTAGATTTGCAAGTGTTTTGCCATTAACCAAAGTATTGGACATGAGCAATCGACTGATTATTGGCCCAGTTGATTTAATATTCCACATTATTCTGATCTGCATCCATCTGAATCATTATTTTTTAAAAACTGATTCCTGATGAAATACATTCATTTAAAAATGCGCTACTTTAGCTCTGATGAATTGGATTCCTCTGTCTATAGTTACTCTGTGCTCGTGAGTAATGTTGAATTAAGTACATAGCTAATTGGTTACACTTTATGAGTTATATCAACACTAAAGAATAAGTGTTCAAAAGTTTGTTTTTAATTAAACAGATGTAACATTAATAAGGAAAAATATTTCACATGATTTTGGGTTTGCTCCATGTGTACGTCAGTGGTTATCGACCTTGATTGATAATAATCATAAGCCCTGAAAAAACAATAGCAGTCTATCCATAGTGGACAATTTAGATGTTGACCAGATGATGGTGTGAGATATAAAGCCAGTGGATCACCAAAGTCATGAAAAGCATTCATCCTCTGGGCACCATGAATGTCTGCGCAACATTTCACAGCAATCCACTCGAGAGTTTGTTCAGATATTTCATTGGTGAACTGACAAACCAAAAGAAAAATGAGATTTTATCACCCTAAACAATCCTTGATTCTTTGAACTGCCTTTTTTTTGCATTTATACAAGCAGGGAAGACAATAAGACGCAGATGGGGAAACTACAAAGTCATAGTTCAGTGCATTTTACCATGTTATACTGTTTATCTTACTTTGAAGACAAAGAAAACCTGTTGAGTGTCATAAAAATTCATAAAGTTGTGGTGTTTCTCACAGGCATCTGACAGCAGACGGAGCTGAGTGTGTTGTTGTACTCCACGTCTCGCTTTAGATGACCAGGGCCCATTAGAGTTGAGGAATGTTAATAAGCCTGAGTGTTTAGAGGAAGGCAGATGACCGACTCTTTTTAGCATCAGAGCACTGATGGAGCGACATGATGTTATGAAACCCACACATGGACGTGTACTGTAACACAGTCGGACATATTGTACCCACATGTCCGGCACAGAGCTGCAGATACAACAACACTGTATTGGTCTGCAGACAGTATCCATCAGTGTGAGTCCATCAGTATGTGTTGAGGTGACAATTAAATCGTGATTAACTGTTGTTTTTAATTCCCGCTATTTTATTGTTAGTGTGTCAGAGTGATAATACATTTACCACGACAGCCACAGACTCATAAGCCAATCATAATAAGCCAAAACAGCTTTACAAGTCAATCACAACCTGTGGTTTATGTTTCATTTAACTATCGAGGTGTAATTAGGGCCAAGTTTAAATTGTTGTGGACCTTAGAAACGAACCTCAAACTCACCAGTTCCAACTTTGCCAACCCGTAATTCCTGCAATAATATATGAGTTGTGCTTGTTATCATAATTGTAAAACCGTGATGCTGTTGTGTGGTTTTTGGCTCCATTTCCAACCAACCAGGTCCCAACTGCTGTTTGTTTTTTCAGGGTTCTGATTGGATCACCGCTGTCGGGTCAGCCAGCCAAACGAACCGGAGATGTCTACAAATGTCCAGTAGAACGGCAAGGCAACAAATGTGTCAAACTGGAGCTGCCCAGTAAGAATATTATGTCTGTGTGCAAACTGTATACATCTGTCTCAGTCCTCTGTCCGCTGTAACCCCAGACTGACTTCACGATGTTGAGATCAGGGCTCTGTGGTGGGAACTTTTTGTTCTTCTTGCGGTTGAGGACAGTTCACAAGACTGTGGCTGCATGTTTGGGCTTGTTTTCCTGCTGCAGAATCAATCTGAACTGACCACTTTCTGATGCTACTGAGTGATGGATAAGAGTCTAAAATTCTAAATTGCACAATACAGTATATAACAAATGTCGAATTAGGATTAAAAATATGAATAATAATTAGGGATGCACGATATATCGGCGACCACAACGGTATCGGCCGATATTGATGACTGTCTAACATTAGCACCTTCGTCTCTACATTTGATATTGCTGCTATTTCACAGATGTTTTTACTTTAATAGTCCTGAATTTAAGATTAAATATGTTTAAATACATTTAAACATGTTTTACTTTTGTTACATTATAAAAAAGACTATTTGGTATGGGCTTCTTTAGAATAGTTGTCACATTCTCACAGTGATTACTTATACTCATTTTTCGTTGTGAACAAAAATTGAATATCGGTAATATCGGTTATCGGCGATATCAGAAGTCTTAATATCGGATATCGGTATCGGCCAGAAATTTTAATATCGTGCATCACTAATAATAATGCCAGTATAACAAAAAAACAAAAGGCAAAACCTCTATATTGTTAAAACACTACTGACTTAAAGCAATGATCCATTTCCTTTATGGTAATTTTATATTGTATGATTGATGGTCAAGCGAGTGAATACAGATTATGCACTGTAGTATTTGCATTTATACTGCTGGGGTACTTTCGTAGTACTTTTGAGACTCTGAGTAGTGTTTGCATGTATTCTTATCAGGCTGCACATGGACCCAACTACTTCCACTGATAATATCAGACCGCTCTGCAAAGCACTCTCTGCTGCTGGTTTACATTATTACTATTGCATGGTTATCATCAGCATACTCCCTGCTCTGAATGCACTGCAATAATCGAAGGGCACTCAGAAGATTTTGGTGATTCTGATTTTCTGTTATCTGCATTTTAGTAGCTGGGCAGTCAGAGGACACTGGGAGATTTTAGTGAGCACAGGATGTCAAGATCAAAAATCAGAGATAGAGACGACAACTGATCATTTTATCCCCTGCTACGTATCATAGCTGACAACTGATGCTGCATCTTAGTCACCTCTTGTCATCCTGTCAAAGACCAACACATCAGATTTATTTTTTCCTCCATTGTTGACCAATAGGAGCTCAGACAGTGCTTCCTTTTGCACATAACATAGAAAAGTGGAAGACAGGCCAAACTATCATCTTCGTGCAACTTGATTTTTGAATTTTTCATACTTTCGTTTTTAATTCCTGCGAGCACCAAGCAGCCAGTACCATTCCCGCCAGTGTTTGTTTGTGCTGATATTTCCGATAGTTGTCATCTGACGCCTCTTTTCCACTGAAATCTAGCGGGTTGTAAAAACGAAACTCTTCGGTTAGACCTGTTGTCTCTTGTGTGTCTTGGCCAAGTCTCAGCAGGAATTCATGCCTCTTTGATTATCAGCCTTAAACAATAAAAACAAGGGAGACGAAAACAGGATTTAGAAAAATTAGCAGCACAGAAATGATGCCCTTTCATGCGAGGAAGTCAATGAAACCGTGAAAAATATGCATAGCTGTGTATGCAAACATTGTAAATCTCAGCGCTGCTTGCCGTGTAATTGTAGCTTACTGCTGTGTGTTTAAGTTTGCTGCATATCTGACTCTGTCTCCTGGGGAGGAAGTTAGGCCCGGCTGAACCGGAAGACAGTAAATAAACAGAGTTTTAATGTTTCATCCTTCCAATTTCTCCTAATTAAACAGATAAACACAACTTAGCTCCCGGTCAGCAGTCTGCAAAGCCTCTATTAGTGCTCATCTGTGTGTCTACACGTGATAACACAAAGTCAGTGTGTACAGTACATTTGCAACTCTCAGTTTCGAGACTCAGTACTTCAATACAGCTGCTCACACTTCAGAATTATCAAGTAACGGGCGTAAGATTCATCCCGCTGTTGCTACATTACTGGCTTCATGTGCTGATACTTCACACTCCCCCCACTCACCAGTGAAGAGGCCCGTATTTGTTTTGTCTTGGATGAGTTAGAAGGGTAAAAACCTAAATCTCACAAGCTCAAGTTTAGTCTGGAAGATCTCCACTGGGAATCAAGACTTGCAGTCAGAGCCAGAACGCTCAGCAACAAAGGGGGAGTGGTTGACAAGATGATAACAATGACAGTGATGTGTAGTAAATTTAAAGTGAAACTAGGTATGACTCAGCAGCTGTATGACCTATTTGTTACCTTGGACTTTGTCGGTGGATATTTTAAGAGACATTACTTAAGTGTCCCTGATCGTGAAGCAGATCAAGGACAGCCCAGCAGGATGCGACACGAGTCTGTCCGTCCTCTGAGTCACTGCTGTCTGTGCCCACCGACGACGCCTCAGCCTCACACTGTCAGATCTGTCTCCGCGCTGAGTTTATACGTTCCCATTGCGGCGATGAGTGAGGCCAAACCATAATGAGCCAAGTTAAATTTGTGTGGTTCTTGTGTTGTAATATTTAATCGCACTTGCATCCGACCAGTAAAACTGGAGGCTGGTTCCGCCGTGACAATTAAGTGTGATGAAATTCTGGCAAGAGACTCCAACGCCCAGGGTTTCTGGGCTGTCTGCAATATGTTTACATTCTGTTTGGAAAAGTGAGTCCAAATGAGAAACAATAAACATCATCTTGCTGACTGCACAAATGGAAACTCAGACTGGAGTTTTACAAACTGGAGAACCACTGCTTGACAAATAAAATAGGAAATAAAAATGATTTAATATACCATTGTTAATATAGTGATGGCTGGTTATGGCTGAAGATATTTTATATGATCTTGTATATATTCATAATTAGTCATGTTAAGCAGTGTTGGGATTGGTGTTTATCTTTATAAATTTTTTTAAAAATGCATTACTTTGCTTATTTTGCTTCTCCCTACATCAGCAAAAATTCTTATCCCAAAGACCAAATCGAGCTTTCTGCGTCCACCTAAGTCCTGCGGATATCTGCAAACAATCCAAAAGTTATGTTCACGCAAAGCTGTTCATTTTTCCGAACAAATGGTGCTTAAAAAAATGATTGCTATGAGGAAAGACTACGAGGAGATTCTCTGTCGTCCACACGTTTATAATTCATCATATAAAGAGTTGTAATGGAAGCAGCCACTGCTGGACTTTCGAGGTTCCTTGATTTGTACATGCTTTCCATCAGTGGCGCCCGAACACAGCGGGAAGCTTCTAAATCTCCATAAATTCTGTTCTATGTCCACCCACTGTGCTCGATGCATGTCAGGATGGATCACTGACATGGTGGAGCAGCCTGATCTGTAGCTAACTGCAGCATCCTGTAAAAAAATGCAAAGTCACAGCCAGGCTTTCAGAAACATCCATGTGTGTAACTCTGTGTTCGATATGAGAGGCAGAGCGACCGTCTGCATACAGTGTACGTATTGCAGTATAAATAGAACCAAGTAAGCGTCCACTGTCCACATTCAAAGTCTGCATCAGTCTTGAATTGGTCATAATAAGTAGGACATGCTCATCTTTCTTTTCTGCTCTTTTTAATAAAGTGTTGCCACTTAGCCTACAGCAAAGTTGGTTAAAACCAGCTTAAAGAGCAGCTCACAGAAAAATGTTGTGGCGAGAACAAAGCACAGTTGCATGTCTGAGAGAGTTAAGGATGGACTGCTTCAAAATAAAAGTAGTACCTGGAACTGATAAGTAACTCAAATGTGATTACTGAATTTAGAAACAGTAATGTTGTTACACTGCTGCATTACAGACAAATGTAATGTGATTATAGTACGGTGTTGCCCCCAACACTGTTCCTAAGTAACATGTAAACTACTTGCAGTTCATACCGAGGAAATGACTGGTTATATTGGTTACATATTTTAGCGGAGGCCACGTTACAAATTGAAATTTGACCTGTGTCTCCTCTCAAGAGGTCATTCCAGAGCAGGAGAGATTGTGTTAAAGGTGCTGTTTGTTCTGATAGTTATCTTAAGTACCAGTTCACTGAGGAAAAAGTGTGTTTTCTCCTCGGCAGCTGCTTCCAGTCCCACATGCACGTATCAGGAGGTGCAGGATGTCGATCTGTGTCGCTCATTTTTATCAGATAGTTCAGAAATAAGGCAAGGTCACTTTACAAACGAGGTTATTTTCACTTCACAGTTTAACTTGGTGTCACATCCTAAGTGTGTTTGAGTAACCGCGAGATGTTTTTGTCAGCAGGGAGTCTTGAGCAGCTCCAACATGTTCGCTGTGTGAGCTTGAGGGCAGGAAACAGAGGAAATAGGGATCTGAAAACACTCAGTGCTGAAGAAAAGACAAAAACTAACAGCTCTGCTGCACATGTCAGTATCATGCTAATGAGAATCAAACATTGTTTCACATCAAAATGCCCTCATGGGAGGTTTAATTCAAAAGTAAGAAAGCATGTCAATGAGTGTGTGCGTAAGAGAGAATATGTAGATTCCTCAGAGGGAAAAAATAAAACATTCCCAAGCTGAAGCAGGAGATTCTAATTTTAGCCACATGTTGTGATTGCTTAATGATTCGATTCCTCTATTTTTTCTTTACAACTGGGATGTCTATCAGCAAAATGTCTGTGCTCTGTATTCTTAGTTTACAGCCATAAGCTTCACACAGAGAGACAGTATGGTAAAGTAATGAAACAAACTATATTTAACCACATGTTGGAGGTTATTATATCTTTGGGATGGACGGAAGTAAGAAAGTAGAGCAGCTTTCTTCCTGTGGGAAAATGAAAGAGAGGAATTTGTCCAGCTGTTCTTCTTCTGTGCTGCTCTCTGATTGTCTCATTCTGTTTATTCATCCAAATTTTTTTTTTTTTTTTCAGAAAACACAACCGTTCCCAACTTGCGTGAAGTCAAGGAGAACATGACCATGGGAAGCACACTAGTGACCAATCCCAACGGAGGATTTCTGGTAAGGAGGAAGTGGTCTACATTGTCTATACCAAACAGAGAAGAAGCACTGATCTTTGCACTTTTCTCGAAACCTTTGGACTCCGTGGAAACTTTGGGTTTGACACTCAGTGTTCCTAAATCAGGCTTCATGTCCTGGGAATATAACAGGATGCTGTGAATCAAACGTATGTGCAATGCAGAGACACATATGGTAGTGGATGAGAATTCCAGTAAGACTTTAATCTGAACTGATGATCGGATTAACAGGGTGTGAAAATTACAGAAAGAGTGGGCGAAGGGCCAAAAAAAAAAGTATTTATGCAACTTGTTAAGTGGTCCAAGAAAATCTGAGAGAGAACATGCTTTATAATGTTGGACTGTGAGGACACATCCAGTACAGCTGCATGTGTAACTCAACCCCTTAATGCGGTTACAAGGACTTTTCAGCACCATGTGTTTAACTCAACACTAATCAGAACTAATACAAAGCACTTAAAGGTTCTGAATCAGGCCAAGAGTATCGCTGAAATCAGACTTTTGCGTGAATAATGAGTAAAATGCTCTTTTAACACCGCTTGTCAGCAACTGGACTGTAGATGTGTTTGGAGTTAACTGGGTGTTTATAATTCAGATTTTTAGTCATGCCACTGGATATGCCAGTTAGTCATTCCCAAGCAGCAACCTTGAGGAATGAATAATAAAGCCAACACAGAAGTAGCCTGCTGCACCTGATGTAGATGGATATAGGCCTGCCATTTCATACAGCAACCTCCTCATCTTTCACTGTCTACATCTTATTAATTCACAACAACAACCTCCTACTAGTAACCTAGCATGCTATAAACCTGTCACTGTTTTCAGGGATTGCCATCAATGCACCCTGGACTTAACACCATCCGAGATGATTATTTGGTTTAAAGAAATACGAACGAGCCAAGACCATTCAACATGGCGCTGTGTCAGTGCTGCTGAATGGTTTTGGTTTTCCAACGTGTAAGTGCCAAAAATTGCAGTTCCTCAAATGGCCACTTGACGCCGACTCAAAAAGCGAGTCCATGCCTTTAAAATACCACATTGTACCAGAGAAACAAACATGTTTACAGCTTGATATAAAAAACTGTACTGGTCTCTACAGCTAATTTTCATGTTCATGACAACTGTATGATGGTGATTTATTGCATAACTATTTAAATTGTATTAAGGCTTAAAGTTATGCGTGATAAAGGGCGTGGTCACTTTGACTGACAGGTGGTTGGCGTCCATTGCTCGCCTCAGCTTCAGTCACACTCACCATTTTTGGATTAGCTGAGATTTAGGAGGAGTCAGGCGCTGGCCAAGATGCTGATTCTAATGTCGCCACACTGAATGCTTCATGAACCCACACTGAGCTTTCAATGTGGAGACCTATAGATGACGTCATGGAGGGGTCATCCATCTTTATATACAGTGATTGACTGATTGACCACTTTGGTTTGAACTGAAATACGGATTACCATGAAATTCTGCACAGATATTAATAATCCACAGAAGATAAATCCTATTGTGGCTCAGGTGGTGGAGCAGTATCTCCACCAATCACAAGGTTGGTGGTGGATCATCAGAAACCTCTGATGGCAGGTCAGCGCCTTGCATGGTAGCTTTGCCACCATTGTTATGTTAGTCTGTGAGTGAGTGGGAAACACATTGTAAAGCACTATTTAGAAGCTAGCTAAGGTTAAATGGAACTTCAGGTGTGTGCTATTTAGTGATCCACTAACCTTTCAACCATCATCAGTCAAAATGTTGATTCGTTCACGTCTTCTGTTTCAACCTCAGCTTTACTTTCTGTTTGCAGTTAACTACTAAATGATAGCATTCTTATTCAATTCTAATAACAGGAGGTGAACACGGTAAATGAAGGGACCATGGTAAAAAAAACATTTAAAACACCACTATCTTGCATGTTTGCAAACTGCAGAAATCCTCAACAACTCCCTTCTAATACAAGGAAAGCACTGAGGTTGTGGAGCCTGCAGGGAAATCTCAGGACACAACGCCAAAAGATTAATAGATGTTATTCAATTTTCCAGTTATTGTTGGTAATTTTAAAGCCCGGCTCCCTCACAAACTGTTTCTCTGTTCCTTCTTGCTCCGTCTCCCTGTGGAGAAATACACTCTGAAGGGATCTCTGGTGGTTTTTAATAGTCTCTGTGTAATCCCCACTTTGAGTAGTTCTTTCCTTTTGGGTTCTGTGTTCAGTAGCGCCGAACCTCCTCTCACACATGGCCTCACACTGGTGGAAAAGCTAACCAGTCACAGCCTGCGAGTTTCACTTTCTCAGTTTGTTTGTATGTGTGTGTCTCCGCAGGCGTGTGGTCCTCAGTACGGCTACATGTGCGGCCAGCAGCAGTACATCTCGGGAGTCTGTGCGAATGTCAGCTCCTCCTTTGAGATCCTCAACTCCGTGGCACCGGCCGTGCAAGGTACTGTCAGAGTAAGACACCGCAGATCCGTGCAGGATGTGGCGGCATCTTTACAACTCGCCTGTCCGGGATAAGAGATTAAAATCTACTCTTCACTTGTACCACCCAAGACCCTGACATTAAACTCACCCTCCCTCAGCGAAGAGGGAGATTAGAGCATTCTTCTTAATGTAAACTTGTCTACCCCCTCCCCATCCCTCTCAGGCCCAACCCAGCCCAGCCCTTCTGCTGTGTTGTATGCCCAAGTTAGGAGACAGTTTACTGGGCCTGCACTCAGTCCCCCCTGGAAGAAAACAGCCTAGAAAGAACCGGAGAGTAAACAGTCGACAGTCATTTGCTTCTGTTTCTCTTGTTGTTTCAGAGACTGTTTGTCTTCCATTACTTTACCAGAAGCAAACGTAAATACACAGACTGATCATGTAGTCCTGCGAAAACCCATTAAAATGACATTGAGCACCGACACTCTGAACCCCAAAGTTTATTGGAGTTTTTTGCTGCTGTCACATTTTTACTCGCTGTGGGCTCATTTTTCATTGCAATATAAAGTCCTGCACCGCTTTGGAAACAGCACAACCATGACTAGAGGCACAGAGAAGTCTTTAATGTCACATGTGCAGTATGAGACAGCTATAATTATCATGAAAGAGAGAAAAAATAATGAATTTCTTTGGTTATTTATTGTACACAAATTGGAAAAGTCAACATGTACAATATTTTTCCAAGTGCCTCAATGTGTTACCATGACTCTACATAATATAGATATTTTGCTACTTATGTTTTTAATTTGTCACCATTCGTGCCGCCTATCTGCACTTTTTTTGATTTAACACCACTGCCTAAAAGCCCCAGCTTTTGTTTTAATCACATGACTGCATTGCTTTAGAGTTTTTTTTACAGAATCAGGTTTTGTTAAAAGTTAAAATGATTAAGTGATCTTGATGAATAAATACAATTTGAACATTTAAACTCACCAGTGGATTTTGTGGTCCAGCTGGTTAACATTTGCCAAGTGTTTTATCATAAACAGATCTTTTCATTACTGAATCCTAGTAAAATAATTAGCTGATACACTAAACATAATCCAGGCTTTTTTAGGTCTCTGCGTGTATAGTTTGGAAGCTGTAAATCAAATTTACAACCACTGCTCATCAGAGAAGATCTCAGGACCCCTCGGTTAAATACTGAACTCAGGAAGACTGTCCTCTGCTACCATGATGGAGGGTTTTTAGTACTTTTTTCCTTGTTTTATGATCCTCTACATCAGTGGTAATAAACTTTTCCGACCTCTGAACCCTTAAAGAAACATTTTTTTGTGGTAGAAATGTTTTTTTTCCTTCTTTTCTGTTAATAATCTCAAGACCCTTCAGTCCCACACACACACAGCGAAACCCAGCTCTACATTATTACATTTTGATTTGAGGCTTGTGTGTTTACTGCGGGCACAAGTAAACAGGATGAAGGCTGGATGTGTTACATAATCCAACATCTTTCTGAGGAGACGAATCAGCAGTTTTATTTGTTTATTTACCATCGACTCATTCATCTGTGGAAATGTGTATAAAATATGTCTCAGCTTTCAGTTTGCATGTTACTGTGCACAGAGAAACTGAAACTCCTTTTTATTAACTAAAGTTTCTGGCTTTGTTCCAGAGTGTGCGAAGGAGCTGGACATTGTGATTGTTCTGGACGGATCCAACAGCATCTACCCCTGGTCCAGCATCACCAACTTTTTGAGCCGCTTCATTGAGAAAATTGAGATCGGGCCGAAACTCTCGCAGGTCGGTTGAAAGAATGAACAAATTTAAAGCACATCAACTCTGTGTGTCCTAAACATGTGATGTAGGCAGTGTTAAAGAACAAATGAATGAATTGTTATATAACATTGGTCCAACATTTTCAAAAAAAGGATGAATGAAGGAATATTTTATTTGCTGCCAAGTCAAGTTTTCATATTAGACTTGATGACTTAAGTGTCCTCCATTATGGAATTTTCCACACGGTGCCAACAGCAAGAATAACTGCAAGATGTCCTTCATAAAACAGACTTCATGAAGCAAAGTTTTGCAGTCGTTAAAGTAATTTCAGCCTCTGTCTTACTAAGTTATACCTTGAGTCTATTTCTGTCCGCTCGTCTTGGATCGCTCTGCGAATGGGTGATTAGTTTTTATTATGGTTACATTGATCTGGCCAGGAGCTTGTGGAGTTTTCCACAGGGAAGCACTGGAAAGTCTTCTAACTGTGGAGCCCGGTGGTTGAAAGTCACATCTTCCATGGCGGCTGCAGTCCTGTGCCTTCTGTATAAAGAACATTGTGTCATATCAACCCCACCAGACCCGGCCACATCCTCTGCAGACGGTCTGGGAGGGGCGGCCGAGGAGAGAAGAACACAGAAGGAGTGAAAGGAAAAACAAATTTTATGCCGAATAACGTTCATTAGACAAAAGTGTGTTTGCTTGTGTGTTTTCCAGGTGGGCATTGTGTCCTATGGTGAGACCGTTACTCACCGTGTCAACCTGAGCCAGTTTGACAACACTCCTGCTCTGCTGGATTTTGTCAAAGACCTTCCTCAGCAGACCGGCTTCAAGACCATGACTTTCCTGGGCATCGATACTGCCAGGTACTCAACACTAGCCTCCCCTCCCTCCTCCTCCCCTTTGGGTGAGCCTGGCAACGCTGGGCCACAATTTGCGATTGAGTCATCGTGGTCTGGCAAGGTTTAATGGACATTTTAATGGGAGAATGTCATTTCACGTTACTGGACAATAGGCTCAGCAGCACAGTTGTCACTGGGTTGTAATGATCACATTTTCCCTAAAGCAGCCAGCAGACGATCCCTGGCTGGTTTAACATGCATGTGGATGTTTTCCAAACTTAAATCTTGAACACAAAACAGAGCTTAATGGGGGAATTATCTGACAGGTGTTTCTATCATTTCATCTGCACTA